TTTTTTTTTTTTTTTTTTAAAGCAACATATCACGCTATCGAGAGAATGGAACGATCGAACGATTTATATCGACGTTCGATTTTTCTAGGAAACGTTATTTCTGTTTTTTCCATGCAACATCCTGTATTCTTTGTATTCTCAATTAGCGCGACGTTTAACGAGCCTCGGCTCGTTAGCAACGACCGATTCGTTGATAAAATACACGTTACAATTCAACCAGCTAGACGTCCGTTTTAATTACTTCTTCTCATAAATCACCCGTATTTTTCGAGCTGTCAAGTAAGAGTTGTTTAAACGATGGAATTTACTCTATGTGTCCATTACTTTGTGTCCATTGTACGTTTTTTTTTTTTTTCATCGGTGTAAAAATGTATAGAATTATGGTAATTAACACGTGCGTTGATTCTCGCACGTATCTCCCCAATGCAATTTAAGTAAATGGCAATTTTTTTTTGTTTCTGTTTCTTCACTTCTAACTCCTGTCTTAATTAATTATTACACAACACAATGTTCGAGCAATTTTATATCGATGAAAAATTCATTCTAATTTTATTGTCCAGGATATATATATATATAGATTCTTATCCTAGATAAAAAAAAAAGAAGGAAAGAAAGAATTTAGAACTGTTTAAATGATCGAATTTTCACGAATTTTGTGTAACGATAATTATCTCATTATTACAAATGGAAGAATTGTTTGCTCGATATTTAAAACCAACGTACCGGAACGCGTCCAGAAACTCCATCGAATCCATGATCCAGCCAAATCCAGCCATCGAGATCCTCTCACACCTCTCACTTCCACGCCACTATTTCAAAGATGCTATCTTTCACCGAAAGAGCGAAAGCGCGAGAGAATCTCGCGGATTCGAGTAAATCCTTTCACTTGTACACGAATCACTCCCGCCCGACAAAAACTTCGCCTCTCACGTGCTCTCCTTATAACAACATCTGATCGAACGAATCTGAAGAGAAGAACGAAAGAAGGGAAAAATTTGGAGGAACGTTCACTTTCGTTAAACGTGAAGAAAAGAAAAGAAGGAAAGAGAGAAAAAAACACCAATAAGACTAAATCAAATAAATCAAAATTCAAGAGAATGGGATCCAAGAGAAGAGATTCAAATTCGAGATTCAAATACAACACGATTTTACCGAAACACGTGGGAGAAACTGATGGTGTTTCTGGCGTAAGGAAACGAGTTGGGATCGCGAGGAGGGCGAATAAAAGGGAAGTCGGAAGCGAGAGTGCAGGTGCGTGCACCAAGCCCGGTGGATGGCGGAATATCAACGGTGAGCGAAGGACGATACCACAGCTAGTCTCCACCCTGTCTAGACAAAATCAATGCGACCTCAACCTCCTGCATCCCCTCCAGCATCCCTTAGACCGTTCAACGTCCCCACGTGCGTGCTGGCTGGCTGGCTGGCTGGCTGGCCGCGTCCCTTCTCTCTTTCCGAACTTCCTCTTCATGTCGAGTTTCATTACCGGAAGCAGTCTGCTGCTCCACTCTATGGAGTGTGTGCTAAGTTCACCGACCATGGATACAAGTTGCTACTTCTCTCCTTTCCTTTATTCTCCTTCTACTTCTTCTTCTTCTTTTTCTTCTACTTACACGCGCCTCTTCTTTGGGGGATTTCTTTTGTTCTTCCTTTTTTTTGAACGAGGATGCTTTTTTTTCGCTCGATATCGAGGGACGGATTCTTTTTTCGTTCCGAAATAATTAATATAGTGATGATAGTGATTTAGATCGAACTACTTTTGGTTAGAATTTGTTTTAATAATTTATAAGAGTTAATGATAAAGAATACGTATTTTTAAATGTATATTCATATAACATTTTTAAAAATTACATTCATTCTATTTAAATTCTATTTACGTTCATTTTATTATATCCATTGAGTTCAATTTGGAAATCATTATAATTTGTTGAAATTTACTAATCTTTTGTAGCCTTCTTTGTTTCAGAAACCAATGGCATCAATTGGAATTGAGTATCAAATAAAAAAAGATTTGTATATTCTTTTCTTTTCCTTGATTATATTCAGATTTTTTTTTTATAGTTAAATTTAAATCTTTAAATTGTTAGGTAAATACTATTTTTAAATTTTTACTAGATAATTATAAAAATTATATTTTTAAATTATATTTGGTTTATATATAGATAGAAATTATAATGAATTATAAATTTAGATCAAATTACTTTTAATTAGAATTTGTTTTAATAATTTATAAGATTTTTAATGATAAAAAATATGTATTTTTAAATGGATACTCATACAAAATTTTTAAAAATTACATTCATTTCATGCAAAATCC